CTAACGATACGAATATTGTCGTTAAGAAAAATGGGAATCGCGCTACTGACAAGTGTACATGATACATACATTTGGAAATACATACATCAGAAAATAAAACCTGTTAAAAGAGAAAAGTGTTCCATTTTGTCATTTTATTAGTAATATAATTAGGACCAGAGATTAGGAGCAAGGTAAAGAAAACATTTTAAAACATTCGCGTTAGTATGTACATATGTGTGTACCTTTGCATATTGCACAAAATATTAATTTACTAAAGTATCTGGCATAACTAATGACATATTCGAAAACTGATTACTGAAAAAATATTTTAATGTACATACTTCTGTACATTTGTACGCATGTATGTATATTCTAATCCAAAGAGTTTTATTAGGTCACGAGTTTAAACAGCTCTTAAAATTTATTTTAATTTGATACAAGGTGTATACGCCTTAATTTTATTTGTATGCGTCAAACGATTTATAAAATTCAGAACAACTTCTCCCAATTCTGGGTTACAAAGTTGTTCGTCATAAAGGCAATGAATGCCAAACTCGTTTTAGCATACGCACTGTAGATGTTATGGTATTAATAATAGGGATAGTCAGTGCAACTATTGTTGATGAATGTGTCTGCGGTGTCCAAGCGCACAGAAAGTGTTTTTTCATCTAAAATACTTTCTGCAGCATAACAAAATGCTTGGACACGTTACCGTGATCATCCGCCACCAGGTATATTACAATCCATTGACGTATTCACGACACGTCCAATTCGACGATTCGGGCGCAGTCCTTGACTGAAGCCACCTCCGCCACTGCCACCGCCGCGTCCACCTCCCCCACCTGGACCACCACCACCACCGCCGCCAGAGCCCCACCCACCCCAACGATTATTGCTACTACCGCTTTGATTATCATTATTCATGAAGGGGGCCATTAGGGTTTTAAAGCTACAATTTTACAAAAATTACTTGAATATCCGCATATATCAGACAATTTCAAAGTCCACTTACAAGGCGACTACTACAAACCAAAGGCCTATGAAAATCTCTAAAACGCGTGCAATACTCCATGGCCGCCGCTCCAAAACACGTCCATCTGTTGGACGAGAACAGGCAAGATATTTTCTTCACTACTAAAATGAATTATCGTTCTTACCTCGATCTATGTACACCATTCTGTG